CTATCCCCCAGAAAGGCAACAATACAGCTTCCATATGTACCTCGTCGGTGAGAAAGCTGCATGAAAACGATTTCTCGTGCAAGCCAAGTCAATCTGTATGTTCCCGTCAGACTCCATTGACCTTATCGAGACGAATGTTCGCGTTGTAAACGGTGAGCAGGCATTCCCTGGCGTATATGAATAAATAATTTGAGAAATAATTACTTTTGTTAAAGAATTCGGCAAACTTTCGTCTGTTGGGCGGCTTGAGGTGAAGAACGGAGCGGTTTGGGGGAGCGTTTGGTGCGGCTGCATTTCCTTCAGCACATCATCAACAAACGATCATCATATGTACATATCCAAAACCCACTTATTTCCAGCAACAAAGGCGACTACTTGACGTTTTCGCCTGAGACTGCGTTGAAAGCGTGCCAAGAGCTCGGTAATCGCGGCAGCTTTCCCCCCATCTACATTCTCTGTCTCTCATTCAGAATTCTGAATGATCTTCATTCAGGATTCAGAACGGGGGCGCTGCTGCTTGACGGGTGCAAGGATGTGGAAGGGGCCAACTTGTGTGCAGAGAAGGGGTACCCGGTGGCGAGCGCAGGTTCGTTCGAATGCCTTTACTGTTGCCTGCCTATTCCCTTTATCTCATCTGCCGCTTGCACCTCCAGGCATTACTGTAAGAAAGTCCTTTGCCTCCGCAAAGAAAAACCGAACGAATCCGTGCTCTGCTTTCAGTGCAGCGGAAATGAAGCGTCTCTGGCGGAGTGCGCCGCAGAGAAACCTCCAGCGACCTGCCTCGACCACAACGACGACGTAGCCATCAAGTGCACCAACAGGCTCGCCGGCGTTGAGCCTGATGCCGGCACCATCCGTATCGTGGGCCCCACGGGGACCCCGGCTCAGTCGGGCTTAGGCCGCTTGCAGTTCTACAACAAGGGTATGTTCAACTTGAACTGTCATGGGACGAGCTGATCCTCGTAAACTACTAAACACCTCAACGCAGAGTTCGGCAGCGTCTGTTCAGATGGCTGGAATATCAAGGCCGAGCAGGTGGCGTGCCGGCAGATGGGGTACGACAATGTGAAGGTGAATGCAGGGTTTATCTTTTGCTGAAAAGTCTCTGTGCGTTATTTTTATACTGCTTA